CAGATATATCACAGGATAAACAAAAAACCTGGTAACATTTGGAGACTGGCTAGGTACAGCTTCATATGAGTGGTAAAAGAATATTTATACTCAAGGATATTCTATAAGAAGGGAGTTAAGATACCCAAAACATCAATAAATATAAACAGAGACAAATAGAATCATTTGACATATTTTTTAAAATGCAATCCCTATTTCTCTCTTTCCATTTTTTTTTTTTTTTTTTTTTGGTAACTGGAAGTTTGTACCTCCTAATCTCCCTCACTTATTTCTCTTATCTCTCCACCCCCTCCCCTCTGGCAAACACCTGTTTGTTCTCTGTATCTATGACTCTGTTTGTTCTGTTTGTTCTGTTTATTCATTATTTTTTGTTTTTTAGATTCCACGTATAAGTGAAATCATATGGCATTTGTCTTTCTCTGATTTATTTCATTTAGCAGAATACCCTCTATGTCCACCCATATTGTCACAAATGGCAAGATTTCATTCTTTTTCTTTTTATGGCTGAGTAGTATTCATATATATATATATATATATATATTTGTGTGTGTGTGTGTGTGTGTGTGTGTATGGAATATATACACACATACCATATCTTCTTTACCCATTTATTTATTGATGGGCACTTAGATTGATTCCATATTTTGGCTACTGTAAACAATGCTGCAATGAATATAGGGGTGCATGTATCTTTTCTAAGCACTGTTTTCATTTTCTTCAGATAAATACCCAGAAGTGGAAGTGCTCCACTTCCACTCATATGGTAGTTCTGTTTTTAATTTTTTGAGGAACCACCATACTGTTTTCCACAGTGGCTGCACCAACTTACATCCCCACCAACAGTGCACGAGGGTTCCCTTTTCTCTACATCCTCCTCAACACCTGTAATTTGTTGTCTTTTTGATAACAGCCATTCTGACAGGTGTGAGGTGATATCTCATTGTGGTTTTGATTTGCATTGCCCTGATGGTTAGTGATGTTGAGCATCTTTTCATGTGCCTCTTGGCCATCTGTATGTCTTCTTTGGAAAAATGTCTATTCAGGACCTCTGCCCATTTGTAAGTCAGGCTGTGTGATTTTTTGATGTTGAGTTTTACGAGTTCTTTGTATATTTTGGGCATTAACCCCTTATCAAATACATTGTTTGCAAATATCTTCTTCCATCTAGTAGGTGACCTTTTCATTTTGTTGATAGTTTCCTCCACTGTGCAAAAGCTTTTTAGTTTGACTAAGTCCCAGTTGTTTATTTTTGCTTTTGTTTCCCTTGCCTGAGGAGACGTATCCATAAAAATATTGCTAAGACTGATGTCAAAGAGCATACTGCCTACGTTTTCTTCTAGGAGTTTTGTCATGAAACTTACATTTGTCATGACTTACATTTAAATCTTTACTCCATTTTGAGGGTTTGTTTGTTTGTTTGTATATGGTGTGAGAAAGTAGTCCAATTTGGTTCTTTTGCATGTAGCTGTCCAGTTTTCCCAACACCATTTATGAAGAGTGTGTTTTCCTTATGGTATATTCTTGCCTCCTCTGTGGTAGACTAATTCCCCATATAAGTGTGGGTTCATTTCTGGGCTGTCTATTCTTTTTTTTTTTTTTTTTTTTTTTTTTTTTTTTTGCCTCTCACTGTTGTGGCCTCTCCCATTTGCGGAGCACAGGCTCCGGACGCGCAGGCTCAGTGGCCATGGCTCACGGGCCCAGCCGCTCCGCGGCATGTGGGATCTTCCCGAAACGGGGCACGAACCCGCGTCTCCTGCATCGGCAGGCGGACCCTCAAGCACTGCACCACCAGGGAAGCCCTGGGCTGTCTATTCTATTCCATTGATCTATGTGCCTGTTTTTGTGCCAGTACCATACTATTTTGATTTCTGTAACTTTGTAGTATAGTTTGAAATCAGAGAGCATGATACTTCCAGCTTTGTTGTTCTTTCTCAAGGTTGCTTTGGCTATTCAGGATCTTTTGTGTTTCCTTACAAATTCAAATGACATTTTGAAAAAATATCAGCAATTTTGACTAATAAGGTAAGTACTAAGTAGGGGAAAAGTAAATTATAGCCACTCATCTGTTCTTTATCAGCACCCTATGGGATATTCTAATTTTGGCCTATGTCATAATGATTTTGATGCAGATGCTGAAAGCTCAGAAATGGTCTGATTTGAAGACAGTCTGGCCTGAACAGAGCAGAAGCCCTGTGCTCTCACCCAAACATGGAGAGACATTCATTTCTACCCCCATAATGAAGGCCAGCTTTGTGGAAGCTCTTTTGGTGATGTTTGGAGTCACTCCCATAGGTAAACAGGGATGTTCTCACTTTTCTAGTTACTCAGGAGCTCCATGTTCAGGGTCCCTCACATCATAGAAGATATCCCAAGACCAGGATCATTTTCTTGCCTTAATGCCCCTCAGTACCTCTGGGGGGCTATTTTCTCAGTGGCTGGCACCTGGTGTGCCATCTCTGTCCCATCAATGTTCCACAAGGTCAGCATCTAATTTCAGGCTCACGAGCCTCTTATCATCAGCCCAGCATCAGAGTATGCCTGGGGTAGAGGTCAACATGACTCCATTGCAAATACAACATTAATGAGAGGAAGAGAAGCAGTTTTCCATCGAAAGTACTGGGGAAAACGCTTTCCAGTCCAGAAAGGCATGTTGACAGCTAGAGGTCACCATCAGCTCTTCTGAGAACTAATTACATCAGAGAACTAAAAGTCAGCTTATGGCACAAATCTGAGCTATTTCATTCCTTCAAAACAAGTTAGAGGGCTTCCCTGGTGGCGCAGTGGTTGAGAGTCCGCCTGCCGATGCAGGGGACCCGGGTTCGTGCCCCGGTCCGGGAAGATCCCACGTGCCGCGGAGCGGCTGGGCCCGTGGGCCACGGCCGCTGAGCCTGGGCGTCCGGAGCTTGTGCTCCGCAACGGGAGAGGCCACAACAGTGAGAGGCCCGCGTACCGC